TTCTTACATTCCAGGTTCCTATGCAATATTTTTCTTTACAGCATTGGACTTTCCTTTCACTTCCAGGCATATCCACAACTGAGCGTCCTTTCGGCTTTGGCCCAGCTGCTTCATCAGCTCTGAATCTACTTGTACTTGTCCTCCGCTCTTCCTCAGTAGCATGTTGGACGCCTTCTGACCTGAGGGGCTCATCTTCCAGCGTCATAACTTTTATATGCCTGTTGTCTTTGTCCATGGAGTTTTCTTGGCAGGGATACTGGAGTGGCTTGCCGGTTCCTGCTCCAGGTGGATCACATTTGGTCAAAACTCTCCACTATGATCTGTCCATCTTGGGTGGCCTTGCACGGCATAGCTCATAGCTTCTCTGAGTTATTCAAGCCCCTTCGCCACGGCAAGGCAGTGATCCATGAAGGGGTTACTCAGAGTAGATCCACTGAAATGAATGGACATGACTAAGTTTGCTCCATTAATTTCAATAGGTCTACTCTGAGTAAACCTTAGCTGCATCCCATCCCATCAGCACAAGGAAAGAGTAATTGCTTTGCACAAAGAATAATGATACTTCCAAACAGATATATATCCTCCTTTTTCACATTCAGGACCCTAGCTAGCATGGCTGGAGATTATGACATCTGGAGGTGCCCCATTCTAGAAACATATGCCATTTCAAACTGTGATTTCTACTTTCAAACTAATAAAGTTTGAACCTGAATGGAATACCAGCTTGAATATTAGATATACTTCCATGAAGTGTGTATGTGTGGATGATCCCAGCGTTGTCTTAAGCTGAATACAGATACAAGCATTAAACAGAAGTAACGACAAATTTCACTCCTTGTGGTTTCACAATTTACATAACTTAACATAGGTTTCTGGTTTTGTTTTCAGTCTTGATCCTTCTCTAATGCGTCAGGAGGGCTGCTCTCCTTTTGGTTTTTTAAAAAGTGACACTTGCACATCTGTTAATTTGTACATCTGCCCACCACCTTATTTTATAATCCACAGGCTGTGTTGCTGCACAGCTTAGCTTGGGAGACATGAAACTACATTGAACCAACGCCACTTCAAACCTAATCCATTTTACAGCTGTTATCCTTCCTCCGCACTTCTGAAAACAAAAAGACTAAAGTCTTAATGTCAAGGAAATACTGGTATGTAGAACTGGTAGCACTCAGTAGCCAGTTGATTGCAGTGGGCCGTTTCCTGGAGATATTTCAGGAGATACTGTATCGATCCTCTGTCAGCTTTCCTAATTTGAAGGTAATTGTTTGTCTTTAGTGGGACATCAGGCACTCTTTGAGTGCAACAGAAAATGCTCACTCTCTCAACATGCACACTCTTGTACAACAGCAACTTTCATTAATCATGAAGAGACTTGCATAAAGTTAGAAGTAACTGGTTTTTAAAAATTGGATAGAAAGTACATTTCTGGGGAGTCCTGCCTGGTTAACTTTACTTTTACAGCAGACACATGGAGTCTGTCATGAACAGAACAGCTCTTGATTTTTCAGCCTCCTTCTGGATCTCTTCACAGGCCACAGGTGGCCAGCCTGTGACACACATCTCACAACTAACACAGCTAGTCCAGGCTTGCAGACCATCTACATAAGTCCATGAGGGTTTGAGAGCCTGCTGTGGCATAGAACCAAGACTTGCCTTTCTACTTGCTACGCCAGTGCTGAAATTCTGCACACATACTGCGTTGCCATGCACACTGAAATGTCACCATGTTACACACCATGAACTTGACAGGCACATATGTACACATATAGACGCAGCAATCTCTCTCTCTCTCTCTCTCTCTCTCTCTCTCTCTCTCACACATACTCATACAGACACTCTCACACACATACAAACACACAACTATCACCATTTTCAATCCTCCCCACTCCAGCGCTGAGTAAAAGTAAAAATGCTGCCTTCGACTTTGTACAGATCGCCTCAGTCTTAATGGAATGTTCTTATTCCTGAACACGACCTTGCTAGAAGATATAACAGATATTATTTATTCAGAACTCTTGGGTTCTTCAGAACAGATTGTAATTCTACAGTCTAGATAGTTTTGAAATGTCATCAGAACCTCACTTGCATTACGTTATTTTCAACATCCAGGGCTAGCAGACGGGGCTGGCCCAATATATTTTGCTGTCTGAGGTTGAACAGCAAAGGGTATATACCCCTCCACAAGGCAACGTGCATGGAATACCTGAGGTTGGCTAAGTTATTTTGGCACCCATTCTGTCTGGCAGCAATAATGCAGTAATATATTTAAAGTAACAAACCATGGTCCTTTCATGAACCTCTTCCCTAACCAGCTGCCTGGGGCAACCAATTCACTCTAACATACGGCCAACCTTGCAGCGTGCACCAAAATCTCTTGACTTGTGGGTAAATCCCACCATTTGGGAATCCGTGCTTTGGAGTGATTACATCTTTTGCTGACAAATGTGTACTAGCTTCTTATATGTACCTTTACCTATATGTTGTACACTAGCATATCACAGAGAGGGCTATGCTTAAATCCTTCACTTTGATGCTCTAGTTTACTATAATCTGGGGGTGCATTTGGTTGCTTAACATGACAGGGATATATTTTTTTAACCACCACTACATTCAGTCCTAAATGGTACAGTCTGGAAGTTTACCAGCTTAACCTCTCACTTCAAAATGCGTAGCTTGGCTAGTTGCTGATACAGATTTGCAGAAGAGGGTAAACTTTAGTCATTTATTGATAAAAATATTTATACTGCATGCTGCTGAATCATAAAGGCATATTAAAATGCATGTAATGATGCACATATTAGCAAATGTAACATACAAGCAAGAATAATTTTAGGCATGAAAATTAGTATGCTAGACAAAATTGTGCACAAACAGGTGCATAGTAGGAGAAATTTGTATTAAAATGCTGGTGAATTTTCACGATGACTAAAAACCAAAACACAAACTGGTGTGGAAATATGAAGAATTGAATTTAACATTGGAAAAATGAGAACTAAAGAAACCAAAATTGGCAGATTTGCCCATCCCTAGCTCTAGTCTACGTTGTTTCTGTGGGATAACCAGCCTCATATAAGCAACATGCTTAAGTCCAATTAATGCATGAAGGAGTTAATACCATAGAGTAAGCTGCCCTGCAAGACTTAGCTATGTCTCTTCTCCTCCCCTTGGGAGGAAATATGTAATCAAACCCTATTATTTTCTCCCAGTCTGCCTGAGAAGCTCAGCATGTGAAAAGATTTATGCTGGTTGCTCCAGCTCAACAACATGGCTTTCACCAGCCACTCTTGAGTTCCTATACCAACAATCTAGGAACTTTTACCACTTTGTAACTAAGCTACATTTCACTGCCTGTGCAACTTTCCTGACTGATGTATGGAAAAGCACATGAATCTGACCTTTTAGAGTTTGTAAGTAAACCAGTTATCAGCTTACCAAACGTGTGGCCTTTACCTATGCTGAGGGAAGAGGGAAATTCTGGAACTAGAATGACGTATTTTAAAGCTTTGACCACTTATATTTCCACACATTACTTTGCTGCATATTTTGTGGCTTTAAATCTCTGCTGGGGTTCTGTCACCCAAGAGCACTTGGATTTGACATCCAGGAATTCTTATTGCATCAACAGTTTCATCCACAAAGCAGGTGACTCTGCTACTCCAGGGATGGGGAAATGTGAGGTCTTGCCAATGTTGATGGACTACAACTCCCATCATCTCAGATCAATCTCCATCCTGGCTGAGGCTGATGGGAGTTGAGGTCCGACACCATTCCCATCCCTGCACTGCACCCAGCAACCACAAGGCACGGCTGCCTAAGTTACAGCCCACAAGCTAATTTCCTACTACCAGCCACAATTACAATTCTGTTCTGTTAAAAAAACTCATTTGCATTTTACTGAAGACAAAACAAATGCCAAATTAAAAGGAAAACAACACACAATTAAACCCACCCTCAACAACTGGTAGCTTGCGCTGCTGGCACAGAACTACTGCTTTTCTTAGAAGCACCGGCCCTCATCTGCGGTTATCCATGCTAAACAATTATAAGTCTAGTCTTTTGAAAAGTAGGTTCTGAAGAGTAACAAAAACTCATAGTTTATTCGACCTGAATATAAAACCATTGAAGTATAATACATTTATCATATTAAAAATGCATCATTAAAGTTTAAACGCAGGTGCAGTTACTCAATAAGCTAATGGTATAGTCTGAAGACTCTACTCAAGACTGTATTGTTAAATTCCCAGTGGGATAAAAGAAGTGCGGGGGGGGGGGAAGGAACTAGGGAGGGAGGGAGAGTGACCTTCCACCAAGGTGCTGTTGCTGTGAGTGGAATTTTTTGGTAGGCTGTGGTTGAGCTCCACTCTGAGGATCTTAGAAGCACTGCATTCCTCAGCGATCTGAACAAACAAGAACAGGAATCCTTCAGGATCATAAAAGCATATGAATGTAAAGGTGTGAGAGAGAGAAAGGGCAAGAGGGGCAAGAGGGAGGGAGAAAGAATGCAAATTTCATTTATGTTTTTACAATCCTGAAGCTCTTTAAAGAACACATGGCCACTAAAAAAAGATGCAAGAAAGAAAATAATACCCGTTGCTCAATATTCACTCCTCATTGAGTGTTTTACATGGCAGGCCCTCAACGCAGCATGGATTGGCACTGGGGGCAGAGGGGATGACTCTATTAAACTTAGGGCAAAATTATGCTCTTAACAGTTATGTCCATTTTGAACTTCTTACATTCAGAACTGATTGACCCTGATTTAACAGATGGTACAATCCATCTTGCATGCATACAGGGGAGGGGCGGTGCTATGGGCCAAAATGGAGCCCCGCTCTTCTGAATTTTGTCATAAATGCATATATTAATAAAAACAGCATACTGAAATACATTATATTAGAGGACATTGCTTGCAAAAATGTTTATATGAAGCAAAGGTTCATGTGAAGTGTGCATATCAGGAGAAATTTGCCCTAAACAGCTGACCAACACATGAACAAGCTGGGATAGCTCAGCTGGTAGAGCATGAGGCTCTTAATCTCAAGGTTGTGGGTTCAAGACTCATGTTGGGTAAAAGGTTCCTACATTGCAGGCAGATGGACTAGATGACCTGAAGGAGTGTCTCTACCCTCATCATTCAGCCTGGACACTGAGGTCCAGCTCCGAGGGCCTTCTGGTGGTTCCCTCACTGCGAGAAGTAAGGTTACAGGGAAGCAGGCAGAGGGCCTTCTCGGTGGTGGCGCCCGCCCAATGGAATGCTCTCCCATCAGATGTCAAGGAGATAAACAACTCCCTGACTTTTAGAAGACATCTGAAGGCAGCCCTGTTTAGGGAAGTTTTTCATGTTTGAAGTTTTATTCTGTTTTTAATATTCTGTTGGGAGCTGCCCAGGGTGGCTGGGGAAACCCAGCCAGATGGGTGGGGTAGAAATAATAAATTATAATAATATTATTATGATATGACCCCCATGGTCCCTTCCAACTCTACAATTCTATGATTCTATGTAAAAGAAAACCACCCCCTACCCAGGGCAGGCAAGTCTGGTGTTCCAAACTGGACTTGATATCCAGTCCATGCCTAGACTAAGCCAAAGCTGAAAAGGAAAACAAGGCATGAAGCAGTAGCTTTCCACTGTGATGCATCTGACCTACAAACTACCACAAGCAGCATCCGAAATAATCTTGAAACAGGAGCAGTTTTAACAGCACTTATTTATAAACTGGCCCCTCATTCTTGGATCCTCTAGACAGAGGTAATTTTCAGTCCCGTTTCCAGTTTCTACTTCTGCCGCTATACTTATTTTATATATGCAATTTGTTAGTTGCTTAATGCAAAAGAAGCAGAGTCCCCGACTTACAGAAAATTGAAAGGCGAAGGCACAGCATGAAACCAAACAATAATGCATTACAATTCAACTATTACAAAACAGCAGAAAATTCCCCCTGTGGGAAACATTTAATCAATAACAACAGAACGCCATCCATCAAAAGCCGGGGAGAAGAGGTAGGTTTTTACTTGGTGCCGAAGAGATGTTAATAATGGCGCCAGGTGGACCTCACTGGGAAGAGCATTCTCCAAGTGGGGAGCCACACTTGAAAAGGCCCCCTTTCCCCACCCACCAAGCCTCCCTCAGAGAGGAGCCTCAGTTAAGACCAAAGGTCCTGAGTAGATTCATATCGAAAGAGATTCTCCCAAAGACATTAGGGTCCTGAACGGTTCAGGATGTTACAGTTCAAAACTATCAGTCAAAGCCAGCACTTTGAATTGGATTGGGACCAGTGCAGTTGGGTAACGTTTGGTGTTGTGTGATCAAGCTGTCTCAAGCCTATCACCAATTGCACAGCTGCATTCTGCACTAGCTACAGTTTCTAAACCATCTTCAAAGGCAACCCCACATAAAGTACATTGCAGTAATCCAGTTTTGAAATTGCCAGAGCATAGATCACTGCAGCATAGATTATCACTGTCCAGATTGCAGTTAGGCAGTGTTGAGCTGTTGCAGCAAAACCAACAAAGAGTCTTGTGACATCTTAAAGACATTTTATCAAGGCATAAGCTTTCATCGAGTAGACTCCATTTCATCAGATGCATTAAGTTTCAGATGTTGGCAGACACAAACACATATGTGAGTGTAAAGGAATTAAATGATAATGAAATGCCAACTTTAACCCGCCACCACCTTTGCTTCAGTAAGCAGCAGCAGCACGGGCAATTGGGGTGTCTGTGTCAGTGTTAGAATTCCTGTTCTGTGATTGCAGTCATGGGGTTGTTGTCTGTCACATGACAGTGTATGTTTGACTCCACAGAGTGGGAAGTGACAGAGACAGGATATTTGTGTTACTGTGTTCCGTGAAGTGGGACTATTGTCCTTTGTTCTTTTTCTCTTTGCTGTCTGATGCTAGAGAGAGAGGGAGCCATGTTGCAGTGCTCCATGTGTATTTATATGTAAATAAAGTAGATTGGCCAAAATACTGAGTTGCTGAGTTCTCTTATGCAAACTGTGAAAACTCTGCGGATCCCTAAGTGTGTCGATGTCTGTTGGCATTGGTCGCTGTGATGTTTGGGCAGAAGAAAGCTTTTGAAGCTCCTGAACGATCAACCAGGAGGGAGGGAACATGTCAGTCGGGCATGTGTCTCTGCCAGGGTCCTACTCGAGAGTAGGATGAGCTCCTGACAGTCAGGTGAGTGCCATTGCCCTGCCCACCAATACTGGCACCAGGAAGAGCAGGGAGTTTGCATCTACCACTCAAACCACTGGGATAGGAAATACTGTAAATCTCAATTAAGCAGTCAATTTAAGCACAATTCACCGGGATGTCTTCTTCCACAACCCTGAATGAAATAAATGGGAATGTGCTATTTTTCTTTGGCAGGTCCCTTTTACAGTGGTACCTCAAGTTACAAACGCCTCAGGTTACAAACTCTTCAGGTTACAAACTCCGCTAACCTGGAAGAGTTACCTTGAGTTGAGAACTTTGCCTCAGGATGAGAATGGAAATCGTGTGCCGGCATTGCAGCAGCAGCAAAAGGCCCCATTAGTAAAAGCACGCCTCAGGTTAAGAACAGTTTCAGGTTAAGAATGGACCTCCGGAACGAATTAAGTTCGTAACTAGAGGTACCACTGTATTCCAATGGGATTGCGTAGGAAAAACCTCAAGGTGGGATGCTATCTTCCTACTGCAGAACAAGTAAGTTCAGAAATAAGTGTTTCTTCATTGGTAGAATGCCATTTTTATTTTCTTCAGGAACAAACTATCCTACATAAAATCATGAAACTAGATTCAAAGCTATGTAAAATAAAATTAATTAAATGGAGAATTAATTGGGGCATGCTTTTTTTAAAAAAATAGCAGGAGCTATATTTTAGAGTTATATTTTGTTACATGTTCAGAGGCCCCTGGGCATGGGTGGCCTATAAAAACAAATAATAAAGGGTGAGGAGAATTATTTCAGTGGTGTTTCTTGTATACTAGGAGAAAATACAATTTGAAAGTTTGTGTGTTGAGGGGAGTGTTTTCATAGTTGTTTTTTTAATGACCTGTTACAGACAAAAGGAAACATCAACAAAAACACAAAACCCTCACTCCCCCCAAAAAACTGAACAGTGATCCAAAGACAGCAGCAAAAGCAGCAAAAAAGAGTAAATAATATGAGTATGGATTCAAGTATAGAAACAAAGATTGTAGTAGTGGATTCAAGGCTTTGTTCTTCCTAAGATTGTAATGACAATGTATAAACAATATAAAGAAGGCAAAAGAGAGAGGAAAATGCTTTATGAATTCCAGATAGAGGCAGATGGAGATCAGAGATGGAGGAATGATATTATTCTCCTTTATGCATGCATAAGATGTAAAAACAAAGCAGGTTTTAATAAATTTATCAGTCTTGGAAAAATCTTTAATAACCCTCATTTTAAGTAGGAGTTTCTCTGTGTGCTATGTACCACACTTTTTGATACCAACAGGGAATCAAAACCTTGCAGGCTTTTCCAGTGCTTAGCAAATGTGAGATGTGCAGCCATAAGCAGATAATATGCTATGCATTTATTATCACCATCAGGGCCCTTGTTTTGATTCATGAAAAGATTCATCATGGCTAATTGTGGGGTTCTGTCCAGCAGTTGGTTGCTGATTTTTCTGAATTTCATCAAAAGTAACATTCCAAAAAGCCTGAGCCCATGAACAGGACCACCACATGTGATAGTATGTACCAGGCAATAAGGAACTTTTCCAGCAATGAGGCGACAAATCAGGATCTGTTTTAGACATAATCTTTCAAGTGGTGTGCCATCTGTAAATGAGTTTGAGCCTACATTCCTTAATTTGATTTGATGCTGAAACCAGTAGTGAGTTGGACCACACTGCTTCCCAGTCCTGATCCTCCCAACACCTGACCCCAATCCCTCTCCCAGATCTGTTGGACACCTACTTTGTTCCCCCACTTTTCATCAACCAGCATTGGTTTGATTGATTTTGGAGACCAGATCTTCTGTCCTTGGCAGCCATTATGATGGACTCAAATGGTAAATGGTTGAAGGGCTTGCTCCTTAATTACAGGCCTATGGCAAAATATCAGCTGCAATAAAATGCAAGAGAGTGGTAAATTGCCTAATCTCTTTCTCACTTCTGCTTCTGTGAAGGGCCTTTTTTGTTTGTAAAAGTCCCTTTTCAGTGTACTTGCATATATTACCTATAAAAGTCCCATGAAAACATAGCAGCATTAGAGATGAGTTTGCGTGTGTGCAATGCCAGCACTTTTAACATACACAAAGTGAAGGGATTTGCCATCATCTCTTTTCAAGGAGTTGCTCAAGCAATGACAAAGAATTAAAATATTTAGTGGGGTGTCTAAGATATGGCTGTTTTCCAGTTGTACCCAACATTTCACACTCCCATCTAGGCAAAAAATCCCCACCAATAAGTCACATAGTTAGTTTGTCTCAAAGTAAGGTTTTAGTTGGGGGGAGGGGTATTTTAATGAGGAAAAAGAAACACGATTTCTGTATCTTTTTTTCATTCTCCTACACAATCTCCATGCAGATCTTTCATCTCTGTCTTTCCCCAGCACCTATGGCACCAACTGTCTCAAACACCCTTTCATCTTTTTTGATGGGTTTCCTTCAGGACATGATCCTAAACAACTCCTCCTTCAAGTCTACCTTCCTCTCAGGTCTTGAAATAGCTTTTGTCTTTTTTGCTTAGCCTAATTCCCTCTGTAAATTGCACACTGGACCCATAGAGAACAATCAAGGTCTACTTAAAAATTACACCAATTACTCTTGTTTTCTCAGGAACAGAGTATACATTTTGTTGCTTGAGTCATCAGTCTGAAAACACACCTTGCCTTCCTTAAAAAAAAAAAATCAGCTTGACTACCTGTTTTTGATGTAAAAATCCATTGTGACATTTTGACAGCCAATGATTAAAAGACTTTTCTAGTATTTTACAAGCAAATAAGAATTTTAACCAGATAAGTAAACGTACAGAAATGAAATATTCCATTGTTGTTGAGCATTAAAGTAGCTGTCAAGGCTGAAATGCTTGCAGTTAGTGCAGCACAATGAAGGAAATGTT